GCGAGGAAAGATGCGGGCTCCTTATTAATAAAAAACACTCAAGAAATGTTACCTTATATCTGAGATAAGAAAAATTATTTTTCATACAATGAATTTTTTTCTTTTTGATTACTCTAAGCATTTAAACTTTTCTAAATAATCAAGTTTTAGAACTGGAATTAAGAGTATTTCTATTAATTTAAGATGGTTTTTGACAACGCATACCATCGCGTCGCATCCATCAACTTTAGTTGTATGCAAGCGATGGGTACGCGTACGGCAGATAGGGGCTTCCATAAAAAAATGCTGTTTTATTTGACCGTGGGCAAGAACGTTCAACATTGATAGGCAAAAAGTGGACCTTCGCGCTCTGCATACTAAGCCAGATGATAGGGCAAGCCATTACCAGGAGGTTATGCTAACGCTTCATAGCGGGTATAAAGAGGGTATAAAGGAGTGTGGTTGAAGACGCCATTTCTGAGACTGTATAAATAGTAGAAACGGTAGAGAGGAAATTACAGAATGTACGGATTGCTGCTTATGGCTTATAATCTTCCCAGTAAGTCCCAAGAATTGCGGAGCCAGTTAGTGACTTTCAGACACTTTAGCTACACTTTCCTATGTACTCTCTCTGTACACCACGAATCTTCAAACTCATTTGAGTAAGCGAGTTCAAAATTATAACGGCATCTAAATTATCAATAGCTCCAGAACTAAGCAACAGAAGCTATTTTTTTTTTTTTTAATCTGTGGTAGCTGTTAGTGATATTAAATTTACGCATATTTACGATATTCTAAAACTATAAAAAATGGCTTATAAATTGTTATCGCAAACTCGGTTTTACCTATTGCGACTTGTGTCCTAATGCTACACTGTCAAGGCATAACAATTTTGTTTTAAAAAATGTAGTATCGCATAAACAGTTGTTGTTGGAAACGTTAAAATACTAAAGTTTCTTATTCCTTTAATTATTTTGTTTTTTTAGTCCATCAGATGTGAATTATAATACTTTTTATGAAGGTATTCTTGTCAGGACGAATATACTTTTTATACACATGCGCGATCATGTATTAGTTAAAAAAAGTAATAAATTAAATAGCTCTAGTATTTTAACATCTTCAATAAAAAACAACATTTATGTAGCAATAGTAGTAACTGGAAACATTCTGTAACAGAATTTTTTTATAATTTTTAATATATTTATTATTGTTAGTT